GCAGCTTTAAGAAATCACTTTAACATAACAAATACACATATGTGCATAAACACATACAAAAAATAACCACTCACATGTAAACCTTCTCTTTTCACAACAATAATGCTGTAAAGACGTGTTCACATGTGTGATTTATGTTCTTCTTAAAACACAAAACCTATAAAATTGCACACTTTTGGCCAGATAATAGAAAAACTGTGTGAGGATTTGAGGTGTTTTATTGGCCACAAACACAGTTATACCTGGTGTAACATGCAGTGAAATGTGTTGTGAGCCTGTTCCACACTGAAACAATAATAACAAGATAAATAAGAATAAGGAATAGAACACACTAGAAGTAAAAATATACGACTGTATACAGAGAGAGAACGCGACAGAAATAGCGAAAATAAATAAATCAAGTTTCCAAACAGTGCAAAAAGGGAATAAAACAAATAAAGAAAATAGTAATAATATCATGTCCATGTATATTTACAAGGTGGAGGGTTACCTTTCAACACAAACTTAATTATGAATCTCAGAAGAACCTATTATTTGTGGACGCTTCTTCGGTATTAATTGAAACGTGTGATTGACGGCGTTGAAGAGGAGCGCCGCGGCATCTGTTCTATTTTACAGGACCAGAAAATCAATCTGTGTTAAAACATTCGCTCTCTCGGTTTTCAGTCAGTCATAATGGGAAACACATTGGAAGCAATTTCACTTTGATGTGGCAGAATAGATGTTGAACTGAGCAGATTTGGAGTAATGAGATTTGTTGTTTTTTTAAAAAAAAAAACCACCCCCGCCCGGTACGAGCAACAAAACACCTCAAACATCCAAATATTTGTAGCATATATGACTGTCAGGATTTAAAGTAAATCACACAAAGCTTTATTTCATTATCTCTCTCAGCGTTCCGCCTCGAATTGTAAAAGGGACGTCAAACAAAGCGGGCAGGCCCGAGGTGCATTAAAGCACAATAGAAATGACTTCTTTTTAATGCCCGCCTTCCCTCAAACCCTTTATAAACAAACGAGGACGTGCATGTACAGCAGCATAAGCATTCTTGGAGGTAGTTTGCTTTTTAAAGTCTCCGTCTTCGCTGGCGGAGTTGTTTACTGTTTTATGTATGCACACGCCGCTTATCAGCCGCTCCCCAGGTGTTGACAGAAACCATTTTGTGTACACGGAATTATGAAGCTCCTTGAAAGTAGAGTCTTTTTTTCTTCTTTGACAGAGCGAGTACAGGAAGAGAGGCTTCCAGGAGGTGGTGACACCCAACATCTACAACAGCAAGCTGTGGCAGACCTCTGGGCATTGGCAGCACTACAGCGAGAACATGTTCTCTTTCGAGGCTGAGAAGGAGACCTTTGCCCTCAAACCCATGAACTGCCCCGGACACTGGTGAGACCTGCTCTCGCTTTTTCCTCACATCTAGAGTCGGTGCTTTAATTTCAGCAGAGCAAAAAATAGAAAAACACGCCCACTTCTGTTACACTCTGCGTATCGGGTCCTGCTGCAGTGTGAAGTGGATGTTTTTGTTGGTTCCTGCATGTAATCGGAGGAACAACTGCTTGTTGGCGGCGCTGCTGTTTGTTGTTTACCAGCTTTAAATGTGTTATTAACATTCAGTGGACTTGGAGTGGGATCATAATACCCTTAGTTTACCATCTAGAAACACAAAAAGCAGTATTGTGAACAACAGAAACAATGTTTTACCTCACGTGAATAGCTTTTAATGACCTAACAGTTGGAAATGTTGTTGTGCTCTCTCAGTGCTAAAGTCACCCAGCTCAGCTCAGATTGTGATGAACCGATGTCCCCGTCATGTTTGTAGCTGTTGCATGACCCAGTTCAATTCACTGCTGAATGCTGCATTGCAGTGTAAAAAGCAAGACTGCAGCTTTTTGTATTGAAACCTCGTCTCCCTTTTTTTTCCCTGCTCAAATCTTTCTTTTATCCACATAGACGCCACCTCCTGAGGTCACACTGGAACGGCGCTTTGCAAACACATTTTGCCCAAGTGTTGAATATCAGTTAGAACAAATATTGGATTCAGGCGGTCGTGGTCGTACCGAAGCAGAAGTCGTGTTTCTGTGTAACTTCAATGCTGTGCTTTGTTGGTCTGTTTGGCACCAGCCTGATGTTTGATCACCGGCCTCGCTCCTGGAGAGAGCTGCCCCTTCGCATGGCCGACTTCGGTGTGCTGCACAGGAACGAGCTGTCAGGAGCCCTGACTGGTCTCACCCGTGTCCGCCGCTTCCAGCAGGATGATGCTCATATCTTCTGCTCCATGGACCAGGTGAGGCCTCCGCCGAGCCCCGCTCACAAAACACACGTTTTTTGACTTAAAAAAAAAAAAAAAGCTGCCTGATGGGACCAGAAAATTCACTTTAACCATCAAAATCTGTTTACAAGTTGTGGGATGTGCATGTGGAGGAAAAGAAGCTGCATAAAGCCCTTTGTGCCTAAAGAAGTGCCTCGAGTGACGTTGCTCGAAGAGTGTCTGCTGTGACTGATGAAGAAAACTTTTAAAATAACACAATCTGGGGGTGTGGGGTGACAGACATGGTTTTCCCGACTAAAACTCTGAGAGGTTGCGTCACATTGTGTGGAACATATTCAACAGGTTCTGACAGAAGAAGAATAATGTGGAATAAAAACAACAAAGTATAGACGTGACTCAATAATCGACCCTTAACAATCCTAAACCTGCTATCCGACAGGTTTTTAGGAAAAACCAACAGAAGCCATAAAAACAGCCTTAACATAGCGACAGCCTTGGATTGTGACTCCGACATGACATTTAATGTCACCAATCAGGATGACGGCGTATTATCTGACTGAACAATCCCACAGATTGGCTACGTTCACACTGCAGGACTTGATGCTCAATGAGGATTTCTTTGTGACTTCCTTCATGTTTCCAGTTCAATGCGACGT